TTAAATGTGAAAACCATTCTTTTTTTCAATACCATGAGCAGCATTTGCCTTTCTTTTGTATGTTCGTTCTGTGAGTGTAACTTCATAATCCACCACTTTGTTCTTTTTTTTACACAGCTTAGTTACATTTGTCTGTTTTTAAGCCAAAATACATAAAACATCATACCATAAGACATCTACTTTCTTAAACAGTCAGTGTGGGCCTGGTTTGGAGTGGAATCATTGATAGTGGACATGCTGAGGAGGAGGAAATAATCGCTTACTGAGAAAGGGTGGAAGCTGTATTTTTCAGTCCTTCAGCAATCGATAAGCTCCCCTCGACCTTTATGTGCATCAGTAATAGTATTTCTTTCTCTTGGATGAGAATAAGAACTTTTGTTCATCTACACAGACGAGTATTTCTGCCCTGGTAAAAGTGCTGGCTTATGATTCAAGTGTTCAGGAGCTCAACCAAAAGCAAATATTAAGACTTGAAAGGTAGCAGAAAATCACTAAAGACATTCAGGAGATAAAAAAAGGAAATGGGGAAAAAAATCTAAATGTCACTACAGGCTCCCTTTTCCCACCAGTGCATTTGGGAAGGCTTGCTAAATGAACATTTCTGGATGAGAATGTAATGTATTGTGACAATAGTGTTTGGTGTTTGTGTCCTGTTTTGTATGTCCATCTGAGTCATGCAGAATGAACCCACAGCAGTACAAGGTGCACGACCTTCCCTCCAACACTATAGCACCACTGCTGGTTCTCCCTGTGGTAACTTGTTAATGTCAAAGCTCCATCTCATATCTCATCGTCTTTCCTCTCTTTCTCTCTCTGTCACACACTCAGGGTGAAAATGTTGACCTCTAGGTCTAACACAATCTTACCCTATCTCTTTTATCCACCCTTGCAGGAATGGGATGTGGGCTGTGTCAGCTGAGAAACAGTGACCTTTCACAAGTCTGTAAGAAACACCAGCAACATTCTCCTTATTCCGTGTCAGGCTCTAGGGTCAAATGACATTTCAGACTCAAGTTTGTTTCATATATTCAGGAAATTGCCTGTAAAGTTTTATCTAATCTAATTTTCAAATATGATTTACTTTCTGGTTCTTCTTGAAAATCAGGAAACAATCCCAGTGGACAATTAACTGAAACAAAGGGACGTCAGAGTTCATACCAAAGATCCCTCTTTCCAGAGGTCATCTAACTGTGGTGGGCATAAAGGATAGGAGGGGGACAAGCTGTGATGGTGAATCTGCAAACAAGCAAGGTTTTGAATGTAAACACGGTCACGGAACACTCACCCCTCCCCTCAGGTTTCTTCTCTGAGATGCTTCTGCCAGAACCGGAAACCCGCAATGGTGGATGAAACAAGAGAGCGTTAAACACCAGTCGTTGTTTTGGAAGTCCAATTGTCTTTTGTTGTTCATGACTTCAAATGGTGTTTGTTTGTTTTTTTTGGGGGGGGGACTCTGGCTGTTTGTCCTAAAGTTGAAGTGATAGCAGCCAGCTGTTTCTCCTTCTCTGATATTATTGAGCGGAGAACCTCTCACACCAGTGGTGTTCTGTTCCTAAGTACACGAGTGTGTAATGAATGGAGGACCGGGTGAATAGTGGCGTTTCGGCAAGACTGACTATCGGATGCAGTCGGTCACTTGACAAATCGGGCCAATATTTACAGTTTTTTATACAACGGCATCGGCGGATTTTTGCCCTTAATGAAGCCTTTTTAAAGTAAGGTACATCCTTCGGCAGCCCGGTGCTGTTGCATTATTTAGGGTTTCCCCCAGCGCTTTATAAGCCTGGCAGCCCGCCAGGCTTTGCTTGCCCACCCGCTAGGCTAAGCGTCATGCCCCGCCCCCCTCCCCGACCCTACCGTGTCCGCTGACACGAACGGTGCAACAACACTAGAGCCCTCCATCAGCTGATAATGGTGAGAAACAGCAGCGGAACGTGTGCAACCACCCCACCCCCGCTCTCACAGAGGAGCGCTGTGGGAGCGGGAACTTTATTTAAGTGTCTGAATTTAACACTGAACAGTAGGGCTGGGATGATAATTAATAAATCAATAAATCGTACGATAGATGAAAATTAACTCAATAATTTTTCCAGCCTTGCTATATCGAGGTTAAGAAATGTACAATTCTATTATTATTATAATTTATCATCACTATTGAAGTGCAGGTTTGGTTGGTTGGACACTGGATAGGCCATTGTATTTATTAATTTGAAGAGACAGGGTCTATTTTATTGTTTTTGGTGCAATATTTTTAAACGGAGAGTGAAAGTCATTTTTCATTTTATTTATTCATGTGTTTTTTGTTTGTTTTATTTATGTATTTAAAATTTCTGTTTCTAGACATTCCAATGTTAAATAAAGGTTTAATTGTTGCATTTTAAAGGGTGTACTTGCAATATTATGATATATTCACATTACGTGAGTGGTTATTTTGGTCTCGATAATGTCGACAATGATATCGTTTATCATCAATAATTTGTTAGACAATATATCGTCCAGCAAAATTTGTTATCATCCCAGGCCTACTTGGCAGCACACAAAGTTAAGATTTAACAGTTGGTTAAATTCAGAGTTCGAAAATTGATTTGGCTTCAGAAGTTTTGCGCATCACCTGATGTTATTGACATTTTAGCATGGAAATAAGCTGGAAAATATCTAAATACGGGCCATAAAAACTGGCTCATGTAAATCGGCAGTTCTCATCGGCCATCGGCAGACCATATCGCCTATATAATGGTGTTGGTATCGGCAACAGAAAAACAAATATCGGTCCACCTCCAGTCTAATGGTTGCTTACAGTACAAAACGTGTTATTGGGAGAGTTTTTAGACAAATGTGTGAGATCTACTTCATTAATTAATTTTTTTTATTATTTTTTTTATTTTCACAATATATCTATAGCTATGCCATTTTAGAAAGTTGTTAAGATGCATGACAAAAAAAAAAGCTAATTTGTTTTCCAAATTTGCCATTGTAGCTTTAAGGAAAATACCATGGATGTGAACACATCACACAAATAGCTGTGGGCTGATGAATCTGTATGTTGGAACAAAAATAAATAAATAAACAATCCAAAGCATCTAATCAATTAAAGCAACATTTTGTCAAATTGTTATTAGTGGTTTTTCTAGTAAGGCCTTTCAGAGTAAGAAACATTACGGACAACATTTGGACATTAGAACGAATTTAATGACAAATATACCACCCATAGTCATCTATGTACTTATATTTGAAGGTCCATTTTTCACGAGTACCTCACTGGTAGCATGATTAAAACCATGATTGGGGGGAAAGATACCTTTGATGATCATTTATCTAGTGTTTTTGCCTCCTTTGGTGCCTTTGTCTAATGCAAAGCTTCCAACAGAGTAGGCAAGAAATGGAAGGCAGTATTGTTAATACATAGCAAAGCACTGATGTCCTGGTCTGTCATAATGACAAAAAAGGACACTGTTGGATGCGTCCCTCTGTGATATATCTCCATTACTCTCAACTCAGTGCCCTATCTGTTCACTAAAGACACAACACAGGGTGTTCCTTCACATACACCAAAATAAGTGAGAGGCAGAGAGCCAGATGGTGTACAGGAAATGGAAGAAAGGAACGTGCTTCTGTGGCAGCTGCTATCCTGAAAAGTGGTTACATTTATATCAGGACGGAGGGCAGATCAAAGATGCTGAGGCCATTACGCAGACACATGTGGCCTTTTCTTTTCATGAGACAGCAACGGGTCAGGTGGTAATGACTCGCCTTTCACATTAGAGAGTGTTTAGAGGGCCAAACCTCACAAAAGAATGAAATGATCAAAGATATTGCACGGCACCAGCAGAATATGTAGAAAGGAGAACATTATTTTTGTTGTTGTTAAAGACTGTGTATGAATATATGAATATGGATGTGTATGCAACAGAAGAGCTTTGAAGTATTTTGATGCTCTGCAGTTTTTATATTTGCTTTCTGAAGTGGGTCGGATGAAAGTAAAACTGAAAAAAAAATCTAGATAAAAAAACACTTTTTTGAGGTACAAATTATTTTTAAAGCTCATTTTTGTATGTACTCCTGGAAGTATGTCCCACTTTAACAAAAATAGCAACAATTTTGTGAGCATGTTTTGTTAATGTGGTGAACATGCCAGAACTGCAGAATGCAAAGCTGTTGCAGAGAGCACGGTGAAGTTGTGTCTGTGTGAGGGTGTGTGCAACAATTTTCCATTTGCAACTATGAAAATCTACAGTAAAAACAGTAAAAGTATCTGATTTATCCTGAATTCATTCCACGTTCTACTCGTATTAATGAAGGGTTATCAAAAACTTGTAGCTTTAAAAAAATGTTTTAAAATGGAGGAAATGACATCCTACCTCACCCAGTAGAGGTAAATTATGAAAACATTAAAAAAAGAAAAATATGAGGCACATTTCCATGAATAATCATTTTTGCTCACATCATAAGTGTCAGCATGACCTTCCGCCATGATGAAACTTAAAGAAAACTAGGTGCAGTACTACAATCACATCACTAAGGGGCGCACTTGTATGAAACTTAATCTCCACTTCTCACACTCGGCACTCATGTCACTATTTCTAGCAAAACACCTGACAAATGCAACAAGAAACAGCACAAAGCCAGTTATGCATCAGACATAAAATTGGTAGAAATGTTATGTTGTAAATTGTACAGATTTGATAAATTAACAAAATAATTGCATGTTGGACTGTGATTCAATGACTGAGCTGCAAAAAATAAAATAAAATAAAAATAAATAAATAAAATAAAATAAAAAAGACCAAAAAGCTACATTTACTTGTTTAACCCTTATTTTCCAAACAGAATAAACTCACTGGCGTTAGTCTTAAACACGATGCAGATTGCTCACATTTGATCATAAACAGGGGTTTCCCCGGCGGTTTAGAGGGGTATTTCCCAGTGGCCATGGCGCAAAGTAGTCACCAGTTATGAACCAACACATTCATGAACTGTAAACATAATATTGGCCTACTCACCATATTGACTTCTGACACCATGTCTATGCTGGCTATGTCTATGTTCATTCCCACTCCGACAGGAGGACCTGCAGATCAGAAGAACTGGTGAACCTTCAGGGACTCGCTGACAATTTTTTTTTAATGATTTAATGAATTATTTTAATATGTTTCGGAATGCTTCCCTTATAGGTACGTGACTGGAACACAGATTAACACTTTGATGTGAGTTTGGGTTTTGCCAGCCGGATGAAGAGTTCCCAGAGCTCATTTCGGGTGGGATTAAATGCGCTGACCCGCAGTGAAAGTATCATCCCCTTTAAAAGTTGTTGACATGAAATAACACTGCTTTCGCAGATACGTGGGTTACAACGACACTTCACCCTCTTCACATTCCACCAGGAACATGCTCTTAATGTGATTCTTCATTCAGATGAATGCGCTTATGACGATCCCCATTTATCCCTGATGCATCATTCCTCTTCACTTTGACAGAGTTGTCCGACACATTTAACCACACTGCACGTGCACATCTACAATTACGCGTTCCAAAATGTTACACACGTTCACCTAAATTGGTGATCAAGTTGTGATTGGTAAGGCGCATCATTAAATTAAACACTTGACTTCCGCAGGCTAAGATTTGGACTAGGGTGTGTGAAAACACGACTCAATTTACCTCCGAAATCTGGTCTCAGTCTTATATCATAACCTTTCAAGAGCCTATCCACCGTTTCTTTCACCAAAGGCATATTGCTGGGGTCATTGGCACTGGCACTGTGGAGAAAAAACACAAACCAGAGAAACAAACGATTCAGTAAAGAAGCATCCTCGCACAGAAAGTGTCAGGTATTTTCCACGCAGTCTAATACAGTTACACTTCTGAGTGGAGCATCCGCCGACCCTTTTCACTTACCTCTGGGCGCACGCGACAGCCACAATGAAGGGGGAAAACCAGACGCACACAGTCTTCGTTCTTCTAATTCTTAACGCAAACATGTTAAATTGTGTTTTTAAGTGGAAGGCAGAGGAGGTCTAAGTTATTCTTGCCAGTGCAGTAATTCCAATACCGGGCGCATGCGTATTCTCGACCACAACATCAAGACCGCTTCTGCTGCTGCCGCTGCTGCTTCTGCTGATGGTAGAGGCAGACCCAGGCACGGGGAAATTTAAAGGAGAATCATGACTCCGTGTTCCTTAGGAGTACACGGGGGTCTCCCTGATTTTTTGGGTGTGGGGTATTGAAATCGCAAAGTTTGGCTGATCGGTGAAAAAAAAAATGTGGGTGGGGGTTGTCCGTTTCTATTCGTGCAAGGCACTGCTGCTCCAGCAGAGCTGTCCTGAGGGGGGATCTCAGCGTAAGTTTGGACCGGACAGCTCCGACTGCGTCCCAAACCTGTCTACCTCTGACCACAAACCGAAAAGTTACGAAGCCAAAATAGGCAATTATATATTCTATTCTCATTAAAAAGATAAAAAGAAATACATGTTTAAATTTCATGAAAGGTTTTGAGTATAACTGTATTAAACCAGTAGAAGAGTTTTATTATTGAGGAAAATTAAACCGAAACTGGTTTAGTGTCTCTGTCCATGGTGCTGAAAGCAGTCACTACTCTCACCCCCTCTCCGTCTGATAAGCAAGCACCCTCCAGTGTCTCTCCATAGATTATGTATGTGTGTGTGCGTGCGTGTGTTTGTGTGTGTGTGTGTGTGTGTGGGGGGGGGGGGGGGGGGGGGGTGCAATCCCTGAGCAAACAGTTGCCCACGCATCGATCTCTCCTCATTCAGGTCCCTGACCCAAGCGTGACTTGATACCCTGAGAGGCGCGGTTCCCGCGTGCCGCGCCTCGAGCTGGAGCAGAGCCGCGCTGGCTGCACTGACGCCTTTCTTCACAGTCACGCCTGCTTGTGGCCGGCTCCATGCACTGGAAAGCAGGATAAGAGCCGCTGAGTGCACTTGGACACGGATCGTGATGGATATGGTGGGATCAGAGTGGTGGTGGTGTGTGTGTGTGTGTGTGGGGGGGGGGGGGGGGGGGGTAGTGGTCCCAGTTAAGAGGGTTCCAATAGCGATTCTTTTTCTTCTGAGAAAAAAAAATAAGATTTGCTCAGTTTTCAATCAAAAATGAGAACTTCACTAAATGTATGTCAAAATCTGTTTCTAGATTATCCTCTTGAGGGCGCCCTCATTAAAAACCGTCTGGCTTTTTCAAGAAGTCAAACACAACATATTGAACAAAAGGTGCCCAGTGTTTTCAAAAGATAGGTAAGAGAGCACATTTAATCAATAAAACGTCAAACTTTAAAAATGAGAATATGTTGCAAAAGTCCTTTAATTTCTGTAATTCTGCTTAAAAAGTATCACATAAACACTCACATGCAAAGCCAGATATTCAAAGCCTTAATTTGTTTGTTGGTTGATGATTGTTAGGCATTCTTTCACTTTTTAAGTCATTGTTTCTGATTTTGACCATTCATAACATTTTCATGAAAATCATGTTGACACAACATGATTTTTATGGACTAAAGTAACTTGCATTTATTAATGTCTCCCATTTCTTGATCAGCGGAGATTGGGGCTAGGGTGTCTGTGCCCCCTGTCTTTCTCGACCATGTTGCTCATGCTCTCTGTGATTTGCATAGATGTCATTGTAGTTGGAAACACTGCTGACTGATTTTTGAACGCTTCTGTACCACTATCCTTTTCAGTCATGTTTTTGTACTCTGTCAGCAAACTATACACCATTTTTTATGTACACATATATTTAATTTGATTTCATTAATAATATTTAAAATGTGAAATAAACTAAAACTGTATTCAGTTGATTTAGTTTAATTTCCAACATTTTAGAAAGAGCACGGCATGCTGGGAAAATCCATTCCATCCAACCCTTAACCAGCATGTTGAATCATGAGCACAATCTTTTTAAGTTACCTCAACAAGAAGGAATCAACTAGAAACTACAATCCTGTTCATTTCAGGTCCCTGTAGCCCACTGCCTAGCATGTGTTATCTATTTCCCTGCTCCAACACACCATGCTTTACTCACCTACTGTATGTCCTTCATTTCTTCAGTAGTCTGTTAATCATTTATTGGTGCTAAGAAAATGAAAATATGAGTGTCAGTCACAAAAATCCAAGTGTTCATACTTTCTGAGTGAAATAGACACCAGGAGAGTGTTGTGGTCTTGATCATATCTCTTTCCACTCTAATTCATCTCACGTTTAATGTCTGTCTCTTTTTTTCCCCTCCTAGCAATCATGGTTTGTATTCATTATGTAATCAGGCACACAAGAGCTATCAACACAAAACCAAATATTTGCATGCATGTGTTTCCATCTGTGTAAAAATGTGAAAAGAGTGCAGTGTGCATGAGCATTTGTTCTTGGATTGCAAGTCAATTTTTTTCTAAGTGATGTGCAAGTATGTTTATGGGTTTTACAATAGACGTAACGATCGGGGGGTTTATAAACAAAGAAATTGCTTTTACTATTACATTTTATATTTTATATAGCAGCCAGACTCCTAACCATATCCAGCAGACAAGCTCACATCACTCCAGTTTTACAGTGCCTCCACTGGCTCCCGGTAGAATTTAGAATACAGTTTAAAGTTTTAGTCCTGACCTATAGAGCTCTTAACAACCAGGCTCCTATCTGAGCTTTTATCCCCACACATCACCTCTCGGAACCTTAGATCCACATCTGAAAACCTCCTGGCTGTTCCTCGAACCAGACTGAAAACCAAAGGGGACAGGGCCTTTCAGACTATTGCACCCAGACTTTGGAACAGTCTACCTTCAAATCTCCGTCTCTCTAACACTGTAGAGGTCTTTAAAAATCATCTAAAAACTCACCTTTTCATCCAGGTGTTCCCTCCCTAAATGTTTAAAAAAATGGCTTTGTTCGGGTTCACACCTTCACTTTGTTTATACTCATGATTTTATTTTCTACGTTTATCACTGTTATTATTTTTCTGATGTTTTTATTGGTTAGAGGTATTTGCCCTGATCTTTATCATGTTGTACAGCGCTTTGTGATTTATATCTGTGAAAGGCGCTATATAAATAAACTTTTACTTACTTACTTACTTCCTCCCTGCCTTGGATTTATTCTTTGGTTCATCCTTCAAAATAACGGATTTTTCTTTATATTATCACCTGCCTCGTGTCATCTTGAGTTCCTGCATTTTGGGTCCTATCAACCTCCAGCATACCGTGACAAAAGCAAGCCATATACAGTAAGCTGATAAATACATATCTGGTTTTCGAAGTAACTACAAGTATTACTGTAATATGTTCCCAGCATTAGAGGAAGTACAAAAAGATGCAGTGGCTTCTTAGTGGTACAAGAAATAACTTCTGGGTCACTCCTGTGTACTGGCTTCTGTTCTTCAACTACCTCTGGAGCTTTTTCCCTGCTGGTGAATTACAAATGCTGGAGTTGAAGCGTTAGCTCAGCACAGACTCGCCAACCTTATAGTCTCACGGACTGTGAACAGTTACTACTTCTCTCTACAGTTTTTAAAAAGAAGAAAAACTGACAACCCTCAAGCCAAATGATAAGGAAATCTGTTTCAATTCAACCTTCCTTCTATGATTAAGACAGGCTGTTTTGTGATTATTTCACAGTAGAAAATCTTATCAATTGCTCCTGTTAAGTATATGTAACTTGCTGTCATATAAGCACTAACACAAGAAAAAATTACTCTGGCTGTTGATGCCTCCAAAGCAGAACAATGCACTAACATAATCAAGTTTTAATCAATAAAAACCAACACATACTTCACAGCTCTAACATCAGTGCTCTGCACAATTAGTCATTTTGTAGTTAACATTTCATGAATCACAAGTAATTTAAAAATGTGTCTTTGCAAAACCTAAAAGCTAAAAATTAGATTTTAGAGTGCTTATTTATACCATAGCCAAATCTTTATTAATTTTATCTACAATGAAACCAACTTACAGCCAATGAACCTGCCACCTTTATTTATCTAAACATAACAGATTTGCAGAGGGACAGTTGAACAATGGAAAACTTCCATGTGGTGCTTTATAAACCTTTACTGCACGCTGTCTTACTGTGGTTTCTGCACCTGGTCTGTTCTCAGCAGGTCACACTACCCATGGATCGGCAGTTGATTGTCATCCAACCCCACAGAGATACGCTGACAAACTGCCAAAGCACATGGCCCCAAAGAAGTGCTGTAATTGTACCCATGTAGCACCCATCAGTTCATAGAGTACCTTTCCTGTCAGATCAAAAATTACCAACATCAAACACCTGAACAGATACGGCAACATATATAAGATTTATAGCATAATCAAACACAATTTGTCAGCTGGTACTAGAGAATGCAACTCGTCCTTCCCAGTAATTAAAGCATCTCTGTGTATTTCTCTTTTATGTGTCGTGTAATTACAGCATTGACACCACTGATTAAAGCTCCTTAACTCAGCGAGGGAGCTTTCAGATTCACAGACCTGACTTTCATTAGCTGGCTACCAATAGACTCAGACAACTATTTTCATCAAATGACCACAGCCTATTTCTGCAGGCTGAACAGAGAATATGGCTCTAAGAAGTTAAATAAACTCTCATCCTCTAACATTCTGGGTTTGTTTTCCCCTTTGAATGGTCTCTAGTTACGTTCTGCAGTTATTATATCATCCTGTTAGTCTAAGTATGAAATAAATCTGCTAATTTAAGAAGCACTTTTAAGAATCGTATTGCTTGTTTTCTGAAAATGTTTTAATCTGAAGCACAAGTCGTGATAGAATGAAAACCAGAATTTAACCCCAGCAGACAATGTATTTGAAAAAAGATGCTCATGAGATGATAATTGCGTTTAGTGTGATTAGACAAGGGTCCAATGTAAGCTGCAGATTTGTAATGTAAGCATCAAAGAGTGCAATAGAATGATGCCTAATTTTGGTTATTGTCTGACAATCCCACTTATTTGATGGAGTGGACAAGTTGTTGCATTAATTTCTCCTGTGCAGCTAAAACTACAAAGGGGAGTTGTGACGCTTGTCAAAATGAGTGTCAAGTCATGCCCTAAACATAGAAAAAAAAGCAATATGGAGTCTAAGTCACGCCCATCTACTTCCGGACCATTGGTCTCCCGAAGAACTAAAAAATGAATGCAAGTCAACGGGGCTAAAGATGTTGTTTTCGAATTCCGCTTGTTTTGTGCCATGGATTTTACATATGATGTCTGTGAATCTTAAAGACACATTTTGAAACTAAGGATGCGTGTATTTTCAAATGGGGGGGGGGGGGGGGGAATGTCATGTTCTGTGTCCCTGTGGTCCGCAGCCCCCTCCAGGTTCCCCTCAGGTGTCCCCTAGTGTTCTGTGTCCTTGTTGTCCCAAGTCATTTTTGTCCCCAGCTCCCTCCTGGTTTCTCTCATGTTCTCCAGTCTCTCCACTTTAGGTTTAGAATTTCAGTTCTTAAGTTTCCTTTAGTGTGTGTGTTCCCCTCCCCACTTAGGTCATTCATTTACTGTCATGGCAGGTGGCAGTCTTTTGACCCACGACATGCAGAATCACCACACAGGAACCGGTAA